GGCATCTATTCATGCAGTGTGCCACAGTATGAAGCTACAGGTTAGAAGACAGTCTATGGGACTTGGTTCTCTTCTTCTTCACATGGGTCCTTCATGCTGCCAAGTTTGGGAGCATGTACCTGCTGGCCCTTCGTCCAGAATGTTAGAAATGTAATGTGCGATTTTCTTAAAACTGAGCAATTATTCTCCCAGGCTGAAAATACTGAAAATAGATGCAACAAGTTCCTAGAAAAAAAATTAACCAGAAAACAAGAGTCTCCTGTGTGAATTATCTTTTAACTGGTGTCATGATTACTGTATGAATTTTCTGATAGAACCAGAGGGGAATGCCACTACCTTTCTCGTTTTGACTCTTGCTTTCCTTTCTCTGCTATAGAGGTTTAAGAATTAAAAGGATGGGCACTTCACTTCCAGCACACTTTTACATGCTGGCAACAAACACCATAAAATAGTTCTTAAGTTTTCTTCTCTTCCTTGTATTAAAGCTGGCACCAGTGTTAAGTGTACTGGACACAAAACAAATTCCTGAAGATTCACAACAGATTTTTTTGAGGTCTAACCCTGCTAGATATGGACTGCCAGTTTTATATCAGTGAAGTACCAAAACTCCAAGTCAGAATGGAATCCAACATTGTGTGACTTCAGTCAGTGCTCTGTCAACATCCCTTCATCTAAAAGCATGAGGAATTATACTTATCTAAATGCTAGGAACTTAAAATTGGAGTTTCCATAAAATAACTACATTAACTATCTCGAGGAGGAGATAAGGGAGTTACATGTTTCCTGTGCGCACGCCTGTGATCCCAGCTCTTGGGAGACAGGCAGGTGGATCTCTGTTAGCTGGAAGCCAGCCTGGTCTACACAGTGAGTTTCAGGACAGGCAAGGCTATGTTAGACTCTGTCTCAAAAACAAACCAACCAACCAGACAAAGAAAAAACACACACAAAAACAATGTTGTGTGTTCATTATTATCTAGGTAACAGTATCAGATTTTCAGTTGGCTACAGAATCTATGCCTCTAATCAGACTATACAGCTTGCAGCAAAAAGGGACTAACAAGACAGCAATAGAATAAACACTGTGACAGAAGCATGTACAAGCAGTGCCTAAGAAGATGCTCTTAGAAGTTGAGTGTGCAACTTCTTGTGTAAAGGCACAAGACATTAAAAAAGTACTTGGAATTCTTTTGCTTATAAGCAGTTGGAGCTGTATCCAGATAAGTGACTCTCCTTCCTCCTGATTATTTTGGAGAACTGAGAAGAGACTAGACTGTAAATACCTTTGTCCTTTTAATACATTTATATTTAACTGCACACACCTATTCTTAAATTTGTATGTATGTATGTATGCATTTATTTAAGAAAGATAGGAATGCAGGTTGGCTTTGAATTTAGGATTTTTCTTCTCAGCCTCCCAAGTGTTTACTCACAGACAAAACCCACCACACCTAGACTGTACAGCATCTTTTGATAAATACAAATCTTATTTCCACCTACAATACTACAAGCAGCAGCTGGTACATTTCTAACAAGAGAACGGCACGATCTGATCACCAGCTTGGCAAGTCCCCTTTGAGCATACCAGATATAAGATATAAGAGTAAAAGGGCACAAATCTGTTGGCAGAAATGCAGCTCAGGAGTTTATGGCAACAACTCAGGCTAAAGGTAATGAAGTAAAGAACTCAATGACAGGAGCACAACAGTAGCTAGAATGATGGGGAGAAACCGTCGAATAGTTTCAATATTTAGAGATAGTGCAGTTTGTGGTAAATTAGACTCGGGGATCATCAGTGCTATATCCGTAACACCACGAGAGAGCAGCACTTTGTCATGCTGTCTGGCAGCAGTTAGTGGTGTAGACAGAAACATTAAGTTGGCAATTACACACAGGTAGTAACAGATTTAGGCAATGGTGACAGGAGCCATGGGTGGAAATGAAGATGCTCAAGGATAATGTGTAGGTTAAAGAACAAAATTTTGTTGCCTGCTCCACATAAACTGTATGTCTTTATATTTTAGTTTCTTCATTAAAGCAAGATTCCCTAAAACAAAAGAGCTTCATGATTTTTGTGGTTGCTGCTTTTAGTATCAAGGCATGAACTCATTGCCTTTTGCATGTTGGACAAGTGACCCACCCCTGACCTACATCCCTAGCCCTTTAAATGACTTTGTGACATGGCTGACTTGGAACTTACCTTCCTGCCTCTCAGTCTCCCAGCAGCTGACATTACAGGAGTGTGCCACTGGACAAGGCCAAGAGTCTCTTCTTAATAGATTTTGTGTAATACCTGGTGGAGTGTTTATAGTATAAAAGCTAGTCCTACGTTTTTGGGTTCCAGGATGCATCTTTATATTCACTCAGCTTCATGAACACAAGCAATGTATCATTATGTTTTTACTAACTACAGTGAGTGTAAAAAGGTACATAAAAATAAAAAAACAAGTAAATTTTTAATTTAAAAGTAAAGTCAATTTACCTTTCATCACAGTAAGAAAATTTCATATCCAGGCTGTGTCGACTGAGAAACGTCTTGCTGTCTAAAGGAATTTCAATATTTGATGGATGAGGAATGGGTTCACAAATCAGCACCAAGCATGTCATGGGTGGTTTCTTGTATCCACACTGAGGTTGGTTACTGTTGGTATCATATACATGAATATGGCCTGTGCAATGAAGCACCTGTGTATAAATAAGAAAACAAGTAGCTACCTTATTATTTAAAAAGATTTATTATTTATACAACAAACCAGATACTCTAAATTGGTTAGAAGAAAAAGTGGGGAAGAACCTAGAACTCATTGGCACAGGAGAGAACTTCCTGAACAGAACTCCAACAGCACAGGCTCTAAGAGCAACAATCAATAAATGGGACCTCATGAAACTGAAAAGCTTCTGTAAAGCAAAAGATACTGTCGTCAGAACAAAACGACAGCCTATAGACTGGGAAAGGATCTTCACCAACCCTATATCTGATAGAGGGCTGATATCCAGAACTAAAGAACTTAAAAAGCAATAAATCAAGTAATCCAATTAAAAAATGGGATACAGAGCTAAACAGAGAATTCTCTGTAGAGGAATAGAGAATGGCAAACACTTAAAGAGATGCTCAACATCCTTAGCCATCAGGGAGAGGCAAATCAAAACGACCCTGAGATTTCACCTTACACCCATCAAAATGGCTAAAATCAAAAACTCAAATGACAACACATGCTGGAGAGGTTGTGGAGAAAGGAGAACCATCCTCCACTGCTGGTGGGAATGTAAACTGGTACAACCACTTTGGAAGTCAATCTGGTGCTTTCTCAGACAACTAGGAATAGTGCTTCCTCAAGACCCAGCTATACCACTGCTAGGTATATACCCCAAATTTGCTCAAGTACACAACAAAGACATTTGCTCAACCATGTTTGTAGCAGCTTTATTTGTTAATAGCCAGAACCTGGAAACAACCAGGAACGGATACAGAAACTGTGGTATTTTTACACAATGGAATACTGCTCAGCAATCAAAAAGGAGGAAATCATGAAATTTGCAGGCAAATAGTGGGATCTAGAAAAGATCATTCTGAGTGAAGTATCCCAGGAGAAAGACAAACATGGTATATACTCGCTTATATAGACCTACAAGATATGATAAACATAATGAAATCTATACACCTAAAGAAGATAAACAAGAAAGCGGACATGGGGTAAGATGATCAATACTCACTTAGAAAGACAAATGGGATGTGCATTGGACGTATGACAGGAGTCTACCACAGAAGGCATCTGAAAGACTCTACCTAGCAGTGTTTCAAAACAGATACTAAGACTCATAACCAAATCTTCAGCAGAGGGGAGTTAGTATGACGTGGAAAGGACAGGAGCTCCACAAGGGCCAAATATATTTGGGCACAGGTGTCTTTTCTGAAACTGACACTCCACCAAGGACCATGTATGGATATAACCTAGAACCTTTGCTCGGATGATGCCCGTGCTAGCTCAGTAACCAATTGGTTTCCCATAGTAAGGGGAACAGGGACTATTTCTGACAGGAAATTAAAAAAAAAAAAAAAAGATTTATTTATTATTCATACAACATTCTGCCTGCACACCAGATCTTACTATAGATGGATATGAGCCACCATGTGGTTGCTGGGAATTGAACTCAGGAACTTGGAAGAACAGAGAGTGTTCCTAACCTCTGAGCCATCTCTCCAGCCCAGTTACTTTATTTTTAAGGGAAAAAAATTATGTAGGTCAGTAGTTGAATTTGACCTCATAAACTCTGATAAAATTGCATCTTTGACAATTCCATTTAAGATGTTACAAGGTAATTAGGTATTTTTGAAAAGTATTGTGAGGGTGGGGTGCTGAAGAGAGATGAGTTAGCGGTTAGCAGTTAAAAGCACTAACTGCTTTTCCAGAGGACCCTGTTGCCAAAGGATCTTTTCCTCATCTCTTCAGGCAGCAGGCACGTATGCACTGATATAAATGGAGGCAACACGTCCACGTGCATAAAATAGAAATTAGGGATCATGTGTAGTCCAGATTATGGATCTAATGCCCTCTTCTGGTCTCTTCAGGCACTTCAAGCATATGGTATACTTACATAATCCAAGTAAAGTTCTCTCTCTCTCTCATGAAGTGAAATAAAGTCTCAAATTTTAAAAAACATGTCCATATACAAACATATACAAAATATGTTTGGGCTGTCTTTCCTTCTTCACTCATCTGATTATTATAGTTGATTTTGCTGTAGTGACTATGGTTCCATGCCGAACAAGGAAATCAAACAGTGGACATAAATTAGACTTATATTAGGATTAACATGCTAGTTGAGAAAGCGGATTAAGTCAGCTTGGCATACATTTCCCATAATTGAAGTTTTGAATGGTGACTGCATAGACTGGATGCAAGTGCAATGACACAAAGGGGAACAATTACATTTTTCCCCTCATAACTTTTTTTTTAATTATTTTTATTTTATGCGTTTAAGTGTTCTTACTGTATGTATAGGTGTGCACTGGTGTCTGAAGAGGTCAGAAGGGGATAACGGCTGTCCTGGAAGTGGAGTTACAGATGACTGACCTGACACGTGGATGCTGGTAACCAATCCCAGGTCCTTGGCAATCAAGTACTCTTAACCACTAAGTCATTCACCCCCTCCTCTTCATAACTCTGAAACTCTTGGAGGGTTTTTTGTTTTTATTTGTTTTGTTTTCTGAGGTAGGGGCTTGCTGTGTTCCCTGGGCTGACCTTGAACTTGCTACGTAGACAAGGCTGCATTCAAACTTCTGCTTCCCAAGTGCTCGGGCTAGGTTACTTACACCACTCCTGGTCCAAGCTCTTGTCACCAGCAAGATGTAAATATACAGATTTGTGTAGTGGAGTGCACACTCAGCTTACTGACCTTCCATGTTGCAGACTTTATGTTCATTGTTCTCCCCCGGCTAGTTAGGGTACACTTCATTCTGAGAAAGAAGCTTCGCTGTGTATTTTGTTCTTTCCCTTTTTTCACTGGGCCTAATGAAAGCAAGAAACAAAGTTTTAAGTCATAGCTAACCACAGAAATCCATTACAGAATGAGTATGAGTAGCAAAGTGACATTCTCAGTATTAACACAATGATCCGTGCCCTTTTCACCCACTCCAACACACCCAGTAGGTCTGACAGTGTTTATGAGCCTACAGTGGTTCCCTGAACAGCGGGAGGACAGTCCACACTTTACTAGTTATTTATCTGTGCTGGTAAGTATGGTTAGAGAAAATATGAAAATGGTATGGAGTTTGCCCTCTAAGTGTACTACTCTCAGTAGATAAGCATGCCCTCCCATCTTGCCAACCCCCCCCCAAAAAAAACCAACAACAAAAACTTGAGTAGATACTTCATGTCCTTAACCAACTGTGATAATTCAAGTTTGAATAAGCAGCAATGTGTTTATAGAACTTTAAAAATGCCAACTTACCTTTTGGCGGTAAATTGCTATCTGTGTGTGAAAGCCAGATATAGAATTTTCTATCACAAATTACAGAAATCAGCCATGCTGGTACATGTCAATACCCTCGCACTAGGGAGGCTAAAGAAGGGGGGATGGAGAGTTCTACATTAACCTGAGCTACACTACACGAGACCTTGTTTAAAACTAAGGTTACCAAAATGGGGGCTGGGAAGGTAGCTCAATGGAAGAGCATTTCCAGAGCATATGCACGAAGGCCCTGGGGTTTGATCCCACAACCACAAAAAGGAAAAATAGATAAATCAATTCAAGTCTATTTAGTCTTATGACAAACCTAATAACAAAAAAAATTAGATTACATTTAGATGACTCTGAAACAGTATCTTCATTCCCCATTTTCATTGCTTTGTCTAGTTCAAAAGACATGTTTCATTTATATAAAATTCCAATACATGGATTAGAGGTTGCTCAGGACTAAACAAAAGGAGATGGATGATAGCTAAAAAGGTACAGAACTTCCTTTTTGAGGCCATGAAAATTGGTAGAGCATGCCTTTAATCCCAGCATTTGAGAGGCAGAGGTAGGTGGATCTCTATGAGTTCAGGGACAACAGGGTCTACTTGGAGTTCCAGGCCAGCCAAAGCTACACAGTGAGACCCTGTTTCAAAACAAACAAACAATAAATTTCTTTTTCTAAAATTAGAGGTATGGTGGTGGTTGGTTCATGTCTATGAATATATTAAAAATCATTGAAATGTATCAAATGGGTACATAAAGTATTAGAAAAAAACAAACACAAATCCATTATTTAGGACCTCATGTGTATACCGTGAGTGAGGCTAAGATGAGTAATCAAATGCAGTGCCTTTATGCCCACGATAGACACATATAGTATAGTCAACAGCAATACAAAAAAGCATGTTTCAAAGAGCGGAGAGGAGACCCTGCCAAAGAGAATCAAGAGGCCAGTATACTGTCTAAGAAGTCACTAGGATTAAAAAAATGTCAGCTGCTAAGCCTCTACAGTTCAACAAGTACTTCTCAAAACTCTCAAGAGTTACAGGTCTCTTTTACTACTTTTGCTAGTGTGTGAGCCCCCACACCACAATACTTCTGTTTTTCAGATGGTACCTCATTATGTAGCTGTGGCTTGCTTGAAACTGTTACGTATACCAGACTGTCCTGGAAATTCAGAGATCTGTCTATATCTGCCTCCCAACAGAACCATGACATGTGGTCCAACATAATTTAATACTCCAACTACAGTTCTGAAAACACCTTAGGAGTCAGAGCCACTTTTTGTGCTCTAAAATCCTGGACCCAAATTGTCACATCTTCAACAATCATTGAAAATCCTTTTACCTGACACTTATGATTTCTTGCCTTAATACTTTATTAATTTGTTTTTCCATTTTGTCTACTCTTACTAATTTGATGAATTTTAAAACTTTTCTTGTGAATTTTCTGAAATGTAGAATAACAGTTTTAACAAAAAAGTATTAACATTAAATGTGAAATAACATTCTCCCTTAAATTAGTACATTACCAAAAAATAAAGTAACAATATCTGACTGAAAAACACCTCTCATATTAAATCAAACAACAGACTTTTCTTCTCACCATTTCTGTGTGTAAGCATTTCTCTCATTTCCTCATGGTCACATGGATGAGTAAAATCAAACACACTGTGTCCAGTTAGTTCAAACTGTAAACACATTAAAAAAATTAGATCTATATCATATAATCATAAAGTACCCAGAAATGCTCTATATAAGTGATGCTTTTACCTGGGTTAACCCCATGTATTTGTTCACGTTATCAGAAATGTAAATCATGTCACCATCATCTGTTAGCACCATAACAAAGCCATCAAGGGCTTTCAAATAAAAGCAGTTCATCTGTGCCTTCATTTCATCTTCAATGTCCAGTTCACCTACAAGGCACAAGAGGAAAGAAACTAAGTAAGTATCTGACATACTTTTAAATATCTACAGTACATATATTAATTCTGTATATTTTCCAGTTGCTTTATATAACTGCTTAAAATAAATGAATTTGCAAACAGGCAAATCACTGAAAAAAGAGAAGATCATATTTTAAAAAGATAGGCCATTACTTTACACTCAGTACTAAGGAGGCAGAGGCAGGTGGGTCTCTGTGAGTTCAAGTTCACCCTGGTTTACATAGCAAGATACCAACCAGCGAGGGTTACATGGGAAGACCCTGTCTCAGGAGAGATGGGTCGATGTAGACAGAAGGAAATGCAGAAAAATGGCCAGTATCTTAAATGTCTGAATGTAGCTTTAAAAGCTAGCAAGATAAAGGATGCTGTCATGTGGACAAATGGAGAATATGTTCTACAGAATGAAACAGAGACAATATTATTGGGTTCTAATATCTAGTCACAGATCATGCTAATATACCAGGAGCTATAGAGTTAATGAATTTTTATTTATGTGTTTAAAAATAAAGGGTAAGCCAAAACAGCTTACAGTACAAAAAGAATTATTCCCACAAGTAACTAAGAAAACCAAAGCTTGATAAGAGGAGTAAAGAATACTGAAAAGATTTAAAGTATACAAATCACAACATAAATTAGGTACTTTTAAAAAGCACTGTGTGGAGGCCATGCTAAATTAGGTACTTTTAAAAAGCACTGTGTGGAGACGATGGCTAAGCAGATAAGAACACTGACTGATCTTTCAAAGGGCCCAGGGTTCAATTCCCAGCACTCAGAACTCTCTCTAATTTCAGTTCCAAGGAATGTGACATCCTTTTCTGGCTTCTGCAAATACTAGGCTTGAAGGTGTTGGAGGCAAAACATCTATACATATGTAATAAAAATTTAATTAAAACAAACAAACAAACAAACAAACAAACAAAAACCCCAGCATTATAGGGCTAGAGCGATGGCTCCACAGTTGAGCATATTGACATGGACATGTATGCACAGGTAGGCATGCACACACACACTAAATCTCTTCAAAGAAGGCATTGTGGTTACCTACTGAATTTAATTTCTCATTGTCAGGTCTATTATGTCTTTGCAGAACTCACCAGCATCGAGAAGTTTTCTCACACGTAAATAACTGATGGTAAGCCTCATAACAGAAGCTTTATCAAGGTGTGAGCTCACATTGTGAGGAAGTGGCAGCTGATGAGCAAGCTCATAAAAAACTTCAGACTCTTTGCTTCGCCGAGATCTGGCTGCATCTCTAGACTTTTCTTTTCGACGTTCAGAACTCATCCTACTTAACAAAAAGACAAGAATGTACATGTTAGTTTGTTTTAACCTGAATAAAATTTTGCATTTCCCTGTTTACCGTATAAGAATTAGAAGAAACCATGTAATTATGTAAGACTTGTATGGGGCATGAACAAACTTTTGTGTAAGATACTTATACAAATTTTGAACTACTGAAAATATGATAAAGTTGTCCAAGCTTTAAACACTCCCAAAGCAGATGTTTCACCCCCAAATTTACAGTAGCTTGTGTATCTAATACCCCAGAGTCATTACAAAGAATCGTAGCACAGAAACATCCTAAGTAAGTTTGAAGAAACTAAAGTTGTATATAATAATTTGAATACAGGTAATAATCTTATGGGCAGGCTAAGATACTAATAGCTCTACATGATCTGATTAGTTTCTTTTGGCAGTAATACCTTCCCCCATGGGTTTTACATTAGCAGCTATAATAAGCTACCACTTTCAGTTGCTTACTTCCTGACATACTCCTTATCTACTACTGGCATAATAGATACCAAATAGATGTAGGAATGTGGAAGAAATAAAGCTGAGGCATAATACTGACGTATGGGTGGGCTAGTAAAGATATTTCAATACAGTGATACATTCAGAAACAGATCTGTTTATGTCCTGTCAAGCAAAGCTGTCTTCTTTTGCTTAACTGCCTAGCAACATGCTCTTCTTACTTTGAACTGAACATAAGGCTAAACCTGGCTCTGTTCTTAAGCTCTTTCTGTAAGCATGCCACTATCAAATATTACTCTGCACTAAGTGCTTAGTTCTCTCATAACAACCCCAAAATAGATTAAAATAGTACCCCCATTTTATGAAAAGAAGCTAGGGCTCCATGGATTTAAAACAGCAACTGTGTAACAAATAGGATAGGAAAGTCAGTGTGTAAGTCTTTACTCTTCCACAGTTTTATCTATTAATGGAAAATGCTGCCTCTGTTTTATTCCTTAGATCCCATCTTATTAGGTCAGGCATTTGGTAAATGTTGAAAACAGCTCATAGAAATTATTAAACATTTAGCAGGTAACAGGGACTTATTTTACTCAGTTCTTGTACTCTGAACAAAGCACACAATCCTCACTTCTTTAAGTTTCCTTCCTTTTAGTATAAGGCTGAAAGCAACAAGCATAGAAAGAACCCTTCTTAAGTAACTGTCAAGAGTTCTCAGCAACTCTGTTATACATAGTTTTCAAAGTTTAATTAAGAATGTATACCTTTGTTAGATTCTAAACTGTTACAAAAATTTCAATTCAAACATTTAGTGGGTATGTCCAACTTTTTGACACTGGGACACAACATTGTTGCCAACTGTACAAATGAGTTACAAAAATTTTTCAATAAATAATGTTTTATGTCAGTTTACAATCTCCTGTATTAGCCACATTTTGGATATTAGGGGGCACATGTGGTCTGCAGGCCACACCTGATTCTAGAGCAATCTGACTCAAGAACCTTAAGATTTTAAGTAAGGCTATTAAGAAACCTGTCACAAATAGTGGGTTAGGTATGATTAAAACACACTGCATTCCTTTGGGCTTGCTCTCTCTACCCTCTTCCCAACATTTTCTTGAACATTTATTTCAGAATGTCTATCCTGTAGAAATGCAAACAGAATTTAAAACAAACAAAACTGAAAGAACAACTTATTTTCCAAAGCTACAGAGTTTTGTGTTGTTTGTGCCAAATAACAGAGTTCAGGGATAATTTAAACATTTTATAAGTCAACCATCTTAGGGATAAGTTTGATCACTTGCCAATATTTTATTGTCATGATTTAACTTTAGTTTTTTTTTTTTTGGTTATTTGTGTTGTTTGTTTTGAGATACTTTCTTGCGCTGTAGCTCAGGCTAACAACAAACTTGCTATTGTCTGCCTCAGTCTCCATAATTTTAGTTTCTTTTAAAAAAGATTTTATTTTATTTGTGTGCGTGTGTACAAGTGCCTGTGGCAGCTAGAAGAGAGTATTGGATTCCTGTGAGCCAGAGTTACAGGAAGTTGTGAACTGTCTGCCATCGGTGCTGGGAACAGAATGGTGACTTTAACCTGGTGAGCCCCTGATTTCAGCTCTTAAAGTCACATTTTTATAGTCAGGAAGCTAACAGGCTTTTTGGTGTAATTAGTAGACAGCCAAACAGATTTACCTATTTTACTAGTTTATATTGTATCTAGAATAGTTGTAGGAACTGGTAAGCAATTAAAAAAAAAAAAAAAAACTTTATTTATATACTTGGCTGAAATACCACATCATATAGAAGAAGCAGAATTTCACTTAATCTGTACTTCAAAACAACACAGATGAGCCAGTTGCAGTGATGCATGCTTGTAATCCCAGCACTCAGAGAGGCAGAGGCAGAGGCAGGCAGATCTCTGTGAGTTCGAGGCCAACCTGAGCTACAAAGCAAGTCTAGAAAGACAAAGAAACCCTGTCTTGGAAACAAAACCAAAACAACAAAAAACAACCCCCCCAAACCTAACCCCCAAAACAAAACAAAACAACCCCCACCCCCCAAAAAACCCTAACATTTGGAATTGGTAATTTACAGAAATACAGTACTTTACATGCTGCATGTCTGCACAGTTCTTGATGCAGGCTACCGTAAGAGGTACTGCAGGATCCATCTCTTGCAAAAATAATCCTTGGTGAGCCCTGCAGTTCTGTGATAGACGACTGATACAGCCTTCCTTGGGGTAGATAAGGTAAGCAGTTCAGGTTCTAAGTGAGACCCTGAAAGCATTTTCAATTTTTTTTTGCTCAAGTCTTTCATGTGAGTGGCTGTATTTTAGTAGTTTAGATTTGTTAAGTTGTTTAGAAAAGGGAGGAGAGTTAAGTGTTTCAAGTTGCTTATAAGGTTCTCTACATCTGGACTGATTTAATATTCAGGCTGATCGCTGATCATCCAAATTGAGTATCACAGCCATCACTGCACACAAATTTAAAAAAGGAAAAATGTGCCAGGTGTGATGGCTCATCTTTAATCCCAGAGTTCGGGAGCTGAGGCAGATGGATCTCTGTGTGTTTGAGAACAGCCTGGATTACATACCAAGTTCCAAGCCAGTCAGGCATATACAGTGAGACCCTGTCAAAAGTGTGTGTATGTGTGTCAGTGTCCATTATAACCCAACAGATCTCTGCTATCTCCCTTACTACCCTCCCTGGGTATTGTATAAATGAAATGACTTTCAAAAGTATTTAATTACATGTTTTATTTTAAAATTCAAATTGAAGCATTCACAGAAAACAAGGCAGTTCTGATGCACTTAATTCTTTTTCAGACTGTTGACACTGTGGCACTCTCATATGGCCTCAATATATTTTTAGTGTAGTGTACTAAGAAAATACTGATTCATTTAGATAAGTGGTTCCTTTAAACAATATTTTATTCTTTCACCTTTCACCTACCTTATTACCTTTCCCCTTTCTTATTTTTTTTTTCCTTTCCTTTTCTTTTTAAGACAGGGTCTCCTTACATATCCCAACTTGGCAATGAACCTGCTTCTGCCTACCAGATGCCTGGCCACTCTGCTATCTAGACTAGTTCCTTGCTGTTCTTTAAACAGTTCAGATGTTTCCTCCTCAGAACCTTCTTAATATTTGTTCTGGACCACAGCTTCCTGGCACCCTAACAAGGCACTCACCTCCACTTTTTTATGTCTTTGTTTCAGCCTCACATTCAAGTTAAACATTCCAAGTACTTAGAACAGTTCTTTTTTTTGTTTTGTTTATAAACATTTAATAAAGATATGGAAATGAATGTCTACACATGCAATATTATTATATAGAAAACACTTAAATCATCAAAATTTACTGATGTTTTAATATCTTATTTTTTGTGAGGCTTTATTATTATTATTATTAATTATATTTTATTAACTGTATCCCAGCTGTATCCTGTTCCCTCATTCCCTCCCAGTCCCACCGTCCCACCCTCCCTCTCTCATCTCCTCCCTGCCCCTTTCCAAGTCTACTGATTGGGGAGGACCTTCTCCCCTTTCATCTGACCCTGTTTGGCTGCAAAGTCCTCCTCTGTGGCCTAGCAGGACTGCTCCTCCCTTGGGGAGTGGGGAGGTCAAAGAGCCTGCCATTGAGTTCCTGTTAGAGATAGTCCCTGTTCCCCTTACTATGGGAAACCAATTGGTTACTGAGCTACCACAGGCTTCATCTGAGCACTTAGAACAGTTCTTGACTTAGAAAATCTATTGATAAATGCTACACAAATACAAGAATCAGTATGTTACTATGTTGGGGGATGTCTTGTGCACTGTGTATTCAGATGCCGATTTCTGTGCCTAGAGATCTGGCTGCAGTCTGGACAAGGGTATTGTCATTATTATGAAGAATTTCCTGTCTCAATGTTGTGTAAAAATTGTTCTCCCTCACTTCTGATTGGTTAATAAAGAGCTGATCATCCTATAGCTGGGAAGAAGAGGACAGCAGAGTTGAGGCGGGACTTCCAATCCTAGTTAGAGGGGTCTCAGGTGGAGAAAGGAGAGAAGGTCACCACAAGGAGGCAGCTGTGAGGAGGAAACCTCCATGAAGGCAAAGATGGAGCAGAAGGAGCCAGGGCGAGACTACATCACAGTTATTAATAGGGCACATGGCTGGGAAATAGTCTAGACCCATGTAGAGTTAGAATAAATGAGTATCTGCCCAATTATAGTGCTTTGAGGATTATTAATAAATCTCTGTGTCATCATTTGGGCTAGAGTAGGCATAGAAAAATTACATGCGTGCGCACACACACACTATTTTTTTTTTTTTTTTTTTTTTACACATTGTTCTTTTTTTCTTTGAGGCAAAGTCATGTTATGTATTGCTGGCTAACCTCAAACTTGCCTCTGCCTCCTGAATAGCTAAAATTATAAGCATACCTGGCTTAATTGAAAATTTAATGCTTTACAGAAACACACACACAAACATACATGATTACCAGAATAAATACAATGACTAACCATGGCAGCTAATTTTACATATACCTTCATAGCAGAGTTCTGACACATAAAACATAACAAAATGTTCAGAAAACAAATCATGGAATAAATATGAACACAGCCTCATTTAGGCATTAGCCAGGTCCAATAGCACGCAAAGGTCCTCTTTAATGTAAACACAAACAGCAATCTTGTCAAAAAAGAGGTTTACAAAGGAGATTGGAGATACTGAAACAGTTTGTTGAAAGAGGGTCAATGTTTAGGAAGTTTCCAGCTTAACCACTTCCACACTCTGTTTTGTTTTCTTGAGTCAAGGTCCTGCTGTGTTGATCAGGCTAGTTTCAAACTCTAGGACCTCTGCCTTAGCTCTTCAGTACTGAATTACACATGGAACATTCATGTCTTTCACTATTTTGTCCTAAACTACTGTGGTCGGGAAAATGTACAAATTTCAATGTTGGAAACTACGCAATCAACTTGCATGTGCATGTGTGTGTGCATGTGTGGTGAATGCACACGTGAAAGAGCCAAAGAACAATGTTGGTGTCTTCATCTATCACTCTGAGACAGGGTCTCTTACTGCCCTGGGAGATCTTCCTGTCTTCACCTCACAGTGCTGGGATTACAGGTACAATGCAGCCATACCAGGCTTTTAAAGTGCATGCTAGGATTTGAACTGAGGTCTTCATGCTTCCACATTGATGTTACTAAGCCATTTCCCTAGCCCACTGAATCAAAACTTTTTATTATAAATACATCTCCTAAACCCAACCAGAAACATGATAGGATTAATTTTGTTTTCCACAATCTTTTCCCAGCAAGTGTTGTTAGTTTTTAGTAAATTAACTCCGTTATCAGTTTTTATCTTTAAAAAGGGGATAGTGGAAAGGGGTAGAGGTTACTCTTTAAGGAAGTATTTTACATTTGTTATTAAGAGTATTTTTATTATTAATAGGCTCTTTTCATATCTCAATCTGAGACATTTAATGAGAGAGAAACTGCAAACTGGAAAACCCAGCAAAAATGGGTATCTCAATGTAGGTACAAATTAAAGTTATGGCACTGTAATCTAAAATATCTCCTAAATTATAATCGATAAACTTAAAAATGAGCCTTTAGCTGGGCATGGTGATACATGCCTTTAATCACACTCTCTCAAGGCAGAGGCAGGTGGATCTCTATGAGTTTGGAGTACAGCAAGTACCAGGGCACCCACAGGTACAGAGTGAGACCCTGTCTCAAAAACAGACAAAGAAGGGGTTCCTGACTGAGTTTCTTCTCTTCTGCTACCACCACCACCACCACCACCAAGTTAAAAAGAAGCAAGGGAGGCTAGAGATAGCCCAGTAGTTATGAGCTGGACTTCCAGAAAACACAAGACCTGATCCTATATTCATTTCTAGCTCCCGGGGATCAGAAGCCTCTACTTCCATGGGCATCTGCACTGACATACAGATACAAACATTGTATATACATACGCACATAATTAAAAATAAATCTTAAGAGAAGGAAAAGACAGACAAATCCTGTACTATTTAAATTAATCTCATCAGAATTATATGAATAAGAAAAAAAAAAGATAAGTAGTTATATATGCCAAAGGTCAATCACTGACCAGACTTCCTGTACTGGAGAATGAGGAGTAAGGTCCAGAAATCTTTAAACAAAATTCCTTCATGAAATTGTGGTGCACATTAAAATTTGATATACTGAGCTAGTAAGAGGGCCCAGT